AGAAGGCTCCAAGACCCAAACGTCCCCTAACCAAGGCCCATTTTTATGGTCTCAGGAAGCTTCGCCGAAACGAACATATATTGATTACAAAACCGGACAAAGGTTCGGGAATTGTACTGATGGATAAGAAAGAGTACGTGGAGTAACTAGAAGAAATCTTATTGGATCGCACAAAGTTTTCAAAATCCGATAAAGACAAAGACCGAACAGAGGCCGGTGAAGGCCAGCTAACAAAACTACTTAAAGTGTTTCACAGGGAAGGGTATTTATCGGACAAAGAGTTGGAAAGACTAAGACCCGTGGGTACTACAATACCTCGAATGTATGGCCTACCCAAAGTTCATAAACAAGGCGTGCCGCTTCGTCCAATCATGGACATGAGGTACTCGCCCTACCACTCCATTGCGAAATGGCTCGTCGAAAAGTTGAAGCCATAACAGAGCTCTCTGTACCCCAGAAGCCTGAAGGACACTGTTGACTTCGTAGAAGCTATCAAGGATACCAACATTGGCGAAATGAAAATGCTTTCATTAGATGTCTCTTCACTGTTTACCAACGTTCCGGTAGTAGAAGCCATAGAGTACCTATGTGACTTTATACGGGAAACAAACTACCAGATAGGGATGACAGTGGAGATGCTAAAAGAACTACTGACGTGCTGTACACAAAACGTACAGTTTCTGTGCAACGGACAGTTGTACAAGCAAATAGACGGAGTGGCGATGGGGTGACGGCAACGAACAGGAGGTGCATGGCCAAAGTTTGAAAGTTCACCTTTTGTTGAACCAGTGGCCCCATCTCCTACTTGAACATGATAAACTGTTCTTTTGAGACCCTGCGTCCCAACATTTATGGCCGGCTGTCCTTCGGTGTAAGGTTTCCGCTATTTTCGTACCGTATTTCGTGTTACCGGTTTTTCTAACGCTCCCGCTTTTTTTGTATCCTTTTCCGTGTTACCGATTTTTGTAACATTCTGTCTGTTTTTCAGTTGGGCCCTTTATATTTTAATATTTATGTGGAGTTTCCAATCAGTACCCAGATGCTTTTTTATTTTGACGTTTTAACGATCTTTCGTTCCGTTAGTTTATCCACTACTCGGTTTGTCAATTAACCCTCCCGTACCATCTACGTCTCTTCCACTATGTCGCGCCAAAACTGGAGACCACTTGAAATGTGAGGATTGACTTGATGTATCTTCTAGAGGAGGCTGCGATCTCCTCTTCTCCATTTTAGAATAGAAGTTGATCCAGCATCGTAACCCTGAACCCGAATCGACAACGAAGATATAAAGGAACGGTTTCTAGCGAGATCGCTGAGCCTTGTTGTTCATCACCCTTTCACCCGGACAGGACCCTGACCCAGAGTCATAAATTTTTATCCAACTACCCGCTACAAGGTGCAGCGTCCGGGCGGGAGGATCGGCGGTAAACTTGGGAGGACCGGGTTTGGATAGAATAGGTTCTGGCACCGCCTGCCACCAATTTAGCGTCAGAGCGGGTGAGCGGGGAGTGGTGAACCATGACGTTACGGTGCTGAGGCACCGCCATGTCCGGTCGGAGGGTGGAGCATAGCAGGACTCCGTATTAAGGTTCGAAATCACACTTATACATGATTGGAATGGAGTCGTGCAGTTAAGTTCAGGTTTAAATTACGGGATCAAGGTCCTATTCTGAAAGGAAGAAGAGGAAGCCACAAGGTCGTCTGGGAGATGCGTTAAGTCAATTCCAACTGGTTCAAGCAACTTTCAGTTCCGGCGCAAAATAAGGGAGATGGAAATGATACTGCAGTGCTTATTGATAGATACAGAGACGATTAAACTAAACGAAACGATGTATTGGTAAACATTATAACTGAACCAGTATCTGGAAACCCTAATGGGAATATAGATATACGAAGATATTTCAACCGGAAAAAGTGTGTTACAACAATCTATAACGTGGAAACCGGCACATAAATGGCAAGAAACGTTACAGACGTTACGGAAAGGAGTCGAAAGTGGACTCAATGGAGAGCGAAACACGAAGGAGACGATCAGACGCGAGATTGTGAACGTCAAGACAAGTTCGGCTCTTTTTGCGCGGACCCAGGATGGAGGTGATGTGATCAAGTATCAGTAAAGGAGCCGGTGCCCCTTCTCCTTCACGGCCGCTGATCCCAGTCCCGCCACCGTCATGCGTACCGTTCTCCCGCACTCTATGCCACCCCTCCCCGTCCCGCCCCTTCAGTCGACCCACCACTCTACCCCCTCACCGGAAACCGATCGAACATTATAGAACGGCCCCCACGGCGGATACGACTTTATCAGCGTAATCCACTTTTCGTGTATCCATAAAGTTATGTGATGCAGACTAGTTCCTGCCATTTACTTCGATCCTTTACCCTAACGTTGGCGTTAGTCTGCTCGGTCCGGTGCTTATCAACTCTGTTCAGCACTGCTACCGACCGGAACGTCTTCAGGTCGTTGGTATTTGTGTTAACCTAATAGTCCGTGGTCGCTACAGGGTATCCCCGGTTCTGTATTTGGTGTTCGGTTGTGCTTCACACAGTTTGGTGTTGTCGTTGCAGCAGTTTGCCCTGTTATCCAACCCGTATTTTTTTCAATGTACCGTCTTTAAAACGGTCTGATGTCTTTAAATTATGCATTTTTTCGATAGAAAGCCACAGTTTAATGCCCTTAAAACAAAACCGTAGGCCGTATACCTACCGGCACATCGTATTTCACTATATGTGCTTCTAATGATATTTCGACCGTCAGGGCGCCAAGCTCTACCACTGCCCAGAGGCAGGCTTAACAATGACATGGGTGCGACTGTTTTACAGTGAAGCCCACTTATGCTGATCTTCTGAAAGTCATCACCTTCCGATGTCAAAGCATAGCCAAGGTGAGTGGAAGCGCACTTCCACCCACGGGTCTAAGCGCACTGGTTGACAGTCAGTCGGAACGTCGGCTTGTGCCACATACGACCTAAACTCAACCCCGTTAAGTTTGTTTCAGTGGCAGCTAGGGTCAAATTAATTATTCTCGCTGCCTGCTATTCAACTCTGCTCATGACTCAGTTGCCCCCTCCTTTTGTAACCGTTCAGTCCGCGGCTTTTAGCG